GTGTGTGTGTGTGTGTAGGAGTAACATCCTCATGTGGCACCTCGCTGTGACTGAGAGGCCTGAGCTGAGGTCAGTGCTGCAGTCACAGAACAGAAATCCTCCTTCACATCAACACAGAAGAATGGTCCTTTTGTTGATACCACTTGTGATGCATTCAGGTTGCGGTGCTGTGCCAGGAAATGTCCTTTCCACTGCCACGTAATGTTTTGATCCAAAAATACAGCTCAAAAGCAGCTTGACGGTTAGTCGCCTCTGGCACAAACAGAGGTTACAGTGGGCGTCCCACTCCACTCCTGCTGCTAAATCTAAGTGGGACTTCACTGTGTGGATACATTCAAGTGACAACTCTCTGCGTTCACCAACAACGACCCTTTTCACGCACAAGTAGTCACGTGATCCACTGGAAATCCAACATGTGCTCCCATAAGCTGCTGATTAAACACTCAGCCTCCCTTTATGCTCCATACATTCCCGGGCCTTTACATCATCTGTGTCCCGCAGTGCTGACGGGAGGCGGCGATCAGTGCCAGAGGGTTTATTGTGGTTGCTCATGGACTGGTTGGAAAAAGATCTCTGCCGTACAGGACAACGTATACCTGCTCCACGGCCACGGGGACGACACGTGTCCCATGTTTGTGTCCCCCTTTGTAAAACGGAGCAGGGATTTTTCAAAAGTTGAATATGTGACGAGGCGTTGTGAACGGCCCATATATCAACCTCCCGCTCACCTCAGCTGTCAGAGAAATGAGAACGGAGGAGGAACAAATGATAAGTGGAGGTGTAGATATGGTGGATCATCTCATTACAGTCATAAATCTGTCCACGCTGAACCTCTAGTGACCTCTTAGCATGTTGTCACGTCTTATGTAACTAAATGTATACATTTAAAAGGTTTGAACAAAAGAGAAGTCATAAAGAATCACACACCTTCTCCATTTACAGTCCGAACATACACAAATAAACACTTCACCCACGCCTGCTCAGAGATAACACACACACACACACACACACCTGGCAGTACAAACACCACCATCCGTCCATCACCCCCCTGACAGTCTAATAAACCTAACATCTGAGTGACACATAACACACATTCATACCGGCTGCTTATATCAGCCAGGGGGGCCGAACACAAGTGTGCTGGCATCAGACACACACACACACTCTCTCTCACACTTTCCAGAAGCCTTTATCATCAGAAGAGGCAGAGCTCTGAATCATCGGCCCCCGAGAGCAGGAGGAGAGCAGGAGGAGAGCAGGAGGAGAGCAGGGCCAGTCGGTATCTGCAACAACACGGCCGCTGGAGACAAAGAGGTGCAGACGGCGAGCATCAGTCAGAGATAAAGCGGGCTGAAGGCGAGAGACACGGCGCCTTATTCTGTTTGAGATACCGATCAGAAAGTCAAGCTGGCAGCGGACGAGACAAAAAGCTTGTTGGAGGAGGCCGATGTGGAGCGGGCCGACGGGGGACAGGACAGCCCGGCAGGCAGGGACTCCCCCGGGCCACGTGGCAAGATGGTGCGCGTTGAGCTGGAGTGGGAGATCCCCATGTCGGTGACCCTGCCCGTCCAGGTGCAGCCCGACCCGGCGCACCAACCGTTCCCCTTTCTGGACACGACACTGGCCGACCTGGGCATCCAAGAGTGAGTGAGGGGAGGAGGGGGGTTAAAAGAGCACTCTGATATGCATTGCTTAACAAGTTTGTGTGCTTGTGTGCGTTCAGGTCCGAGGTGAAGGAGAGGGTGGTGTGGGTGGACACCAAGAAGACCCAGGTTAAGAACAAAGCAGGGAAGCTGAAGGAGAAAGAGATCACCATCCTCGAGGTACGGCCACTGAAGCTCCAGATCCATTTAGAGCTCGTGTTTTGGTCTGAGGCAGGGCGGTAAGATGACGAGCACTGTGTGTCCTCCTGCAGGTGAGAGTGAAAGCCCAGAAGCCTGGAGACAAGCAGCTCCAGGAAGTCCTGTACAGCACAGAGGCCCACACCGACCGCTCCTTCTGTCGCACAGGAATGAACATCCTGCCCTGGAAACACACATCTACAGGTGGGGAAGCCGTTTCCATCAGTCCAGCTGCAAAACGCTGCAATTTAACACCTGTCGAGTTTAAAATGTAACATAGTGCCGTTATGTCAGCTCTCTCGGGGTTTGATTCATGGTTGATGTTATAATGGAGGGTTTATTTCTGTATGTGACCTGAGCCCTGCCAGTCTGCGGCGCCCTCTCCGATAACGGTGAACTGTCAGGCTGGCACTGCAATGAGATCACTGTAAACATTACATCAGCGTCCAGATAAAGCCTCGGACCTCAACAGGAATTATTAAACCTGTTTGATGTATCTCCTGTGGTGTTGTGTGTTAGCTCGTGTTTCCACAGCTGCTACGGAGGTGTGGTATTTGTCCCTTTCAGCGTTAGCGCAGGCGGATATATCTGCGCACGCATTTCAAATAAGCCTGTTTGTTTGTGGCAGGGGAGGACGGACTGACACCGGTGCAGATGACTATGGCGTTGGAAAAGCAGCAGCCGGTCATTACGGAGGCCCAGGGACAGCGGGAGATCTGAGGAGCAGCAGAGTCCACGGCAAAGCAATTTTTAAAAACTCCATTTTGATTTCAAGTTGCTAGTTTGCATTTATTTAGAGGTTTCAAAGTGTCCACAGTTTCTCTTTCTACAGTGAGCGGAGGTTGGATGCATTGTAGCATGGGGTAAAGTCTTTGTAGCATTTGTAAAAATCTCTTGCACTTAAATATGTTAAATATGTGTTGCAGGATGTGTTGCATACAGTCACAGGCTGAGCTGCTATTAGCGCTAACAGTAAGTGGTTTGTTTGTTTTTATATAACAACTGAGTGTGGCCTATCAGCTCCGTATTAGTCAGTGAGCTCTGGGGGTTCTCGCTGCAGTGTTTCACACAGCCCATTAGAGAAACCCCTTCGTAAGCAGCTGATAACTCTCTGAGTAAGGCAACGCTAGAAGAGATCACATAGGGATCAGAGGTTTACAGTCCACTGACTTACACTGGGAGATGGGAATGAAAAATGACATTTATCAGGAGATCAAATTCATTGTTTCACACTCAGATAGGAAAGCCAGATGTCTGTCCAAACAGGCAGAGAGGGGACAGCAGCAATTAATAGTAGCACTTTACAGGAATAACAGGGAAACAAAATACAATGTAACAACACAGGATGGTAAACCCTAACTCTTAAAATAATAAAACTTCAACATAGCATGCATGTGAGCAAATAAATTAAAAGTTAGTACTCTGAAGCATAGCTGCTGAATGTGATAATAACTACTAGAATGGTTGAAGTGCTGTATTAAATCACTTTGGGGAAACGTCTCAAATAACTGCCCCATTGTCCACCTACAGTATAAAAATTCATAGTTTTGGCTGGCTTTCACTAAGAGTGGAAGAATGTGTGTGCGCGCTACGAGGCAGAGATGGCCGCGCTAAGTTTGGCCTTCTGCTCTCCAGGAAGTGAGGTCACCGCTGCTTGGAAGTCTGCAGAGTGGTGCTGGGCAAATTCTTTCATCAGCACGGCCAAAGTGTTCTGGGTCTCTGTGGAGGAAAGACAAAAGAAGAGTTGAGGGATGACAGAAAGACAGTGAAGACAGATGAGGAACGTTCCAGCAGCATGCTGATGAGAACCCTGCAGGGACTGAGGGAGGATGATCAGTGGAGGCTGTACGAGGGTCTCTGTATTTTTCAGTCACATAAGATGTTCACATAGCTTTAAAGAGAGTTTGAGCTTTGAGTTTAGTTTGGATGAGTCAGTGCAGTTTATATAAACAGGCTGCCTGTTACTGAAGAATTATTCACCTGTGTCAACGCTCTTGTTGCCAAAGACATGACTGGAAGCTGCGACTATGGGCTTCATCAGCTTCACAATCTAAAAAAGAAAAGAAATAGAATCATTTGAAAAAGATTAGAAGGAATATGTTATTTCAGGACTGTCATCAAGGCAGTTTATTAAAACGGACACTTTTGAATTGAATGTTTAGCTTTGTGCATCCTGTGTTCATCTCTCTGTCTTGTTAAATTGCTAAACATTTGTCTAAATTCTTTAAGATTGCATGATGTAGAGAGTTTAAATACACAGTAGTGTGTTAATACTGTATAAAACATAACAAAATGTCATTAAAAAAATAAGCGAAAGATTTGCCTGATCGTGGTTTCTACATGTGTACAGCTGCTGCAGAAGGAATAACGTACTTTCCCTCACTTTCTAACATCTTCGTTGTCAGAAGAAAATCTAAAAACGACCCCTTTCAGGCGTGAGGTAAAGCACTGAAACAGAACTGGTTACCAATTGTACCTGTAGTGCTTTCAACACTCGATCTCAACACATATACCTTCTACACAGACTGTAACAGCGTGTTAATGGTGCTTGTGCTGTACCAGAGCAGGACTGTTGGTGTAGAGCATAGCCAGGCAGCTGAACACCGTCTTGTTCTCCTCCATGTCTTCTTTGAGGGGAAGACGAGCCACCAGTGCAGGAACCACCTGTTGAGCACACCGTGTGATTGGACTGAGCTACCTAAGTTTCACTGAATTTCCTGCGTGTGAAAATGTGCTGTCAGGAGTAAAGATCACTTGTGGTGGCTGAAATAGAAACGATCTTGGCAGTAGAGGTGCACACAGCAAATATACCTGCTCCAGAGGGACAGCGTCTACATTGCTCATGATCATCCTGCAGAGGGCAGCGCACAGGTTGTCAATCACCCTGAGGTCTGACTCTTTGGTCAGCATGTTGGAGAACACAGACAGCATCATGGGATAGTCTCTGCGACACACTTCACTAAGGAACAGCTGTGTGTGAGGTTGATGTTTTAAACCGTGCATTGTTACACAACACGTCCGCTCTCACAGAAACACACACAAGTGAGAAGGATACGACACAATGATGGGTCCAGCAGCCTGGGCCAGACAGCCCAGTCCGAACACGCTGTTGTTGCGGACCTCAGGATCGCTGTCCCTCACTCCAGCTACCAGCACGGGAAGCAGACGATTGGACAGTCGGCCTGCCACGCCCCGGCCCCCGGACACGCTCACAAGGGCGTGCAGGATTTCTCCAATTGTTCCCACAGAGAAGGACCGGTCTGCCACCGTGCACGAGGATTTCTTTTGAGGGAGAAAGAAAATGAATGAGTGCGATACTGACCAAGCATTACTTTGTGGCGATAAAGCTCGTCTAAATAGAAACGTTTTGTACCATTATGACAGTGTTTCTACCCCAATCCTTTAATGGCTCCAAAAAAAGGTCCTTGCTTGTAGTTAAAAATTCAATAAGCTTGCAGTAAGCTAATGAGCTCGTTTTATAGATATAAATAACTCCATGGATACAGAGAGTGAGCTACTGTTTTGCCACAGTGTCCTTGTTTCCAGTCAGGTCTTTTTAAACATACAAATGTCTCTTGTATATAATCAACCAATCTTAAAGTCAAAGTCTGATCTCTTGTAGTTGCAAAGAGTTTAGAGTAACTCCCTCTCTGCTGCACTTTGTAAGAAATCAGCAGCAGTTTCTGGAGTTACAGCATCACTATCGGACATGTAAGACTTCTGCTGAACTGCTGTGCCTGTTAGGACGTCGGGACTCACAGCTTTGCTCATGATGAGAGGCAGCAGGTCGTTGAGGAAAGGGGCGAAGTGGTCCGCAGGCACAGAGGAAGCCAGCAGGGGAATTCCCTCCCCGGCAAACTCCTGGAGCATAGCGTCATACTCCGCCTGAACCAGAAAGCATAGCGACAGGAAGCACACGGAGTGAACGGACAGTGACGTGGACGAAAGTTTAAAACTGACACGGCTGCTTCAGTGTTACCAATTCAACTATAAATATGTTAATCTCATTATAAGTAATACAAACAAAGACACCTACCTTGAACTTTAAGAAACTATATGTGTTCCACACCATCGAGATTGATGACCCTGCATGGTACATGTGTAGAATGAACCAAAACACATAGACATGAATCGAATTACCTCGACGGATACACATGTGTTGCGTCGTAAGAAAAACATCAAATTGATAGTGAACCACATTGTATCACATTGAATCTATCAACTGCTGAGATGAACCTATTGAAATATGATAGACAGGATAACGCACAATCTGTTAGTTCTTGGCACTGAGGCTCATCACCACACCACACCACCACCGCCCTGATCATGAACAGTAAACACTGAACGTACCCAGAGACAACACTACTGCGCATGATCGACCTATCCTCCAGAAAATACATATAGAACTTAGCTTCTCACATAGAATAAATGGCCCCTACCACCTGCATCTATCTACTATATGATCAGTACCTCCTCTCATCTACCCACTTTTTCTTGAGTTACAATCACGGAATGCAGCATTGTCTGATGATGACCATATCATTGTCTAGTAGTCTGTGATAGGGCTTATATATAGAAACATCTCGGATCCTTGCATAGACTTCCTCTCTATGGTGGTGAGGCGCGCTCTGTGTTAAGTGGATCGAATACTCTGTGCAAAACGTTATATCCGCTAGCGCTCAGCTACCTGCATCACTATACCCTGACCTCGTCTCTACCAAAACAACCCTCTCCCAGCTAGATCATGCGCTGCTGTATCTGCACTCCCCGGATCTTCCACCAAAGCAACGGACTAGCCAACCCAGTGCTACTACGCTCACCATAAATCCAGCAATAGGGAATACATCGCACAGCGAAATCACCCAGAGATCGGAAGGAAATAGGATTCAAGAACTTACAAAAATAAGTATGATCTGCACTCCGCAATAACCTGTCTGGTAACATGCTCTTAAAAAACTGGTTACCTAGCTAATGATAGAGTAAAGTATAGATCTGTTTAGAGCCTGCTTTCCACGATTGATGACGTTCATTCATAATATTCACTGCAGCAGAAAGCAGTGCTGCCAATTTCTGTATTTCCTAAACAATAGTGACAGCAGTGCAGAGTTCCTGAGGCTTTACCCTGATGGTTAGCCTCAGTGGGAGTCTCCTTCCACACTTGGTGCTGAGCTCGACAAAACTGGCCCATGGCTCCAAATGCTGCCCTGCGGACGTCCTCGTGGGGAAACTAGTGAGGGAAGGTACAAAAATGTATCAAGTTACAGCACAATGGGTAGTGTTGCATAGAGCAGTGATTTATGGGGTCACGACTAAAAGACCAAGCACCTGCCACTCAGAAGTGTTAAACAAAACAATTAACAGATAATCTAAAGGTTTCTTTCTTGAAGAATAACAGCTGCCCACTGGACAGAGGAAGGTAAATAATCAAGACAGGATTATTACTAAATTATTATTTGATATCCTTAGCTCTTGGGGAAAATGTGTCTCTTCTTAATTAACATTAACAATGCCAACAATGCGTTGCGTGCAGTTCTCAGGGACCAACTCCAGCTCTGAGGTGTCTTGGTCAATGTCGATTGGAGGAGTATTCATCCAACAAACATCTCTTTTGAGGTGGGAGGAAACCGGCGCAGACACAAAAAGAGAAACGTCCCACAAAAATACATTACTTTTATATGATGATAGAAGACATGCTCGGAGTTCAAGACTAACATTATCCATCTACCTACAGACACTTCTATTTATAGACAGAGGCAAACCCACAGAGACACAATGTATGCACAAACACAGACCGCAGTGTCCTTTACAGCACATTAGACAGAGAGGGATGACTGGGGCTCACCAGCCACAGTGACTTACATCTCTCAGCTCATAAACCTGCTGGAAGCTGGACTCCAGGAAGGGCTGGAAGGCAACACTGTCAGGGGAAACACCAACAAGTTCAAATATAGACACACACACACACACAAGAAATATAAGACAGACTGTAATTTATGAGACTCTATGAGACTGGATCCTCTGTAAAGGTCTTCATTACCCCGTGCTGAAGGCAATCTCTCCCAGTGCATCACAGGCGTCCTCCTTCTCATCGATGTAGGCGTTTTCCACACTGAACCTGAGAGACACATGAATAGACGTGGTGTCACACAGAGTGAGAGCAGGGGTAGTGAATAAACATCCACCTGCATGGGAACGTTTATGATCCCTAACCCTGCAACATCATGGATATCCGTCTCAGCGTCATCTTCCAGAAAATCATCCACATCTTTTTCTCCCTCATTGTCATCATCGTCGTCATCGTCCAGCAGGACAAAAGTCTTGTCCTCCTCAAGGTGAGCCTGAAGAGAGGAGTGAGGAGGATAAGAAGTGAAATGATGAATTATTTATATTGTGAACAGCCTGTAGGTTTAGGAGTGTTGTCTGTGTGCTTTATACCGTAATGCCTTCATTGGACTTGAGGGCGAGCAGCATGACTGTTGTAATGGCAGTGAGGTGGGGAGTCAGGCACTCTGGACTGACTGTGGATACAGCAGAGTAAAGACTGTACCTGACAGAGGAACACAGAGAGAGGTCAAGTAAAAGTAAGAAAACAAAGTGGGTTTATGTTATTGTAGAATATTATTTAGATAATAACAATTATGTGTATGCTAACAGCCTCTGTGTGTGGACGGGCAAAAAGCCCCGAAACATTCACACACACACTAAATGACATACGTGCAGCGTCTCAAGTCAGGGTCGTCAATGGTGTCAGTGAGGTTGAGGCCCAGCCGGACACACTCCGCAGCAAGGGGACTGAAGACATCTTTGCCGATGGTACGCGCCAGCACAGAGAGAGTATCTAACAACAGCAGCAGAATATAATCAACACGGATTCATTCATTCACGCTGTTTGCTGTGTTGATGCAATGTTTTGTTCCCATAACGGAGTAAACTGAAACTACAGCGGCTCAATGACAGGGCTTCCTAAAGGAAACCTGGGATCACAGTACCATTTTGCATCTGAACAATACAATAGGTCTTTGCTTTTGGCCCGCAGCCCACCATTAAGGTTCAGTTTTAACCTTCCAAAAGAAAACATCTTGTCACCGAGCAGCGGCGCCAAGATGTCACCGGGGTTAAGTGGTAGAAAATGTTTTTGTTCTAAATGTACCAACATCAAAACGTCTTCCTTTTCCTTTGCATACCTCTGGGGTTTACCTACCTAAGGACTGAGTTTGCAGAGACCTCATTTCCTCCGTGGTGGCAGTCAGGAAGGCCTTCAGACTTTCAATAACTGGAGGGAAGTAGGGCACCAGCAGCTCCTTGGCAGCATTGGCTGATAAGACAGTGGTTAAAGGGGACCACGGTCATTTCACAAGTGTTTACAGGTTGACATCTTACAAGAGTAGCGTGACATGAATAGCACCTTCAGCCACTAAAGACCTGCTGTGTTGTTTGGCTCATCAGCATCAGAAAAAGCCATTTTAAACTAAATGACCCTATAGACTTGAAAGTGCTCAAAAAGTACCATTACGTTTCTAATAAAAATCTTCTTGTGTGTTTTTGTGTTTGAATTTGGAAGAAAACTGAACACAGTGAGACATAATGTGTTAAACCTTTAACTTACACTGAAGGTCTTTGACAGCTTCTTACCTATAGCACCTATGGCAGACACAGCCAGCTCTTTTATCTTGAGGTTTTCAGTGTTGTTGAGGGCAGACAACATAGTCTCCATCAGGGTGGGCAGGTACGGCTCAATATCTGCTCCTGTTCAGCAAAACAGAAAGAGCAAATAAAGTAAATCCTGTTACAAAAACAAAACAAAAAGATAAATCATTGGTAATAATAAAGTTACACTGTATGATGGAACAAATGAAACTAATGAATAATACTGAACATACTGAATAACTGACTGTTTTTTTACTGGTTCATTGAAAAGTATGTTGTTGTTTTTTAAACTGAGTAGAAGTTTCAAAGTTAGGTTCATGTTTGTGGAAGTTTAATGTTTCATTGTGCAGTGTGCAGTGTGTCAGTCACTGCATTAACCTATTTTCAAGTTACCTAGGTTCTCCATGAAGTTCTCTAGGGCATAAAAGGCCTTAGTAACATGGCCGACCTTGGCCTGGTTCAAGGATGACAGGTATCCCAGCAGCAGAGGCATTATTTCTGTACAATACTTGCTCACTTCAGGCTGGAAGAAAAGGTGGAAAACAGAGTGAACATATTATATTCTATATTCTTATATTCTGTAAAACCACAGATTTACAGGTGCACTTATATTTAGAAAATCAATCAATACTCAAAGTGAGCTGATGCCAAGAGACGTGATATTGTACTGTCATTGGTATCCACCCACTGAACTCATTGAACTGAACTGAAGCCCTCACTGAACGCTGAGTAATAAATATAAATAATAAATACACTTTTCATTCAAACTATACTCTCAAAAAATGTTGCTGTGATGTGATGTGATGTGTGAACTCACCTGTAAATGCTCAGAGAACTGTCCGAGGGCAAAAAGGCCGGCACTGCGCACCACCTGATTACTGTCAGAAAGACTCTGGCACACTGTCTGCAGCACTGATGACAACATCCTATCACAGACGCACACAAAAAGATGAATGTACTCAAACTCTGCTGATTGTTATTAGTCAGCTAACAGACCCCCCCTCACAGAGGATATGCAGCTCACAGCAAAATAAATGAATTTTAAAAAAGCATAGGAAGCTTTTTCCATGTTAACTGGACATACTTGGTGCGGATGTGGTCAGCACAACCTTCAGCCAGCACAGCAAGACACATAAGAGCCCCCTTCCTCTGATAGGGGTTTTCACTGGTAAGGCAGGCCTGAGTGAGGGGCATCTAAAACACGAGAGAGCACATTGTCAGGGGGCAGTAACAGAGTCAGGGGTATTTAAATGCACACTGCAGTTTTAAAGATTAATCAACACAAACAAAAACACGACAAATCTGTTATTGTTAACATCTACTTCTAGTTGACCTACCAGCTGTTGAAACAGTTTCTCGGGGGGCATATGGAGTGCCATCGTGTCGATAATCTGGAAATACAACAACAAGATTTAATGGAGTTGCAATTTCACAAAGAATCTACTAAATGACTGCAACGTACATTGTGTTATACAACATAAGAATACTTATACGTATATCAACACAAACAAGCACCTGAGCAGCGCAGTGTTTGGGATTGTCATTGTCTGAGCCATCTCCGCTGTCATCCTCTTCATCCTCTGGGTCCTGCTCACCAGGAGGGGGCGCTGCAACCAGCACAGGGAAAATGGCCTGCAGGATGGGGTTCAGCAACTTCTGCTTCAGCACCGCCTACAAAGAAGGAAAAGGAGGATTTTGTTTCATCATTTAGTCCATGTAATGTTCATAGTCAAGCACTTTGTTTCTGGACACTGTGTGTAATTAGCTCAGCAAATGTTTCTTCCTCAAATGTAGATGTAGAGAAATTTCCCAGAGAAGTGAAGGTTAGTTTTGCAGTTGTCCCAAAACAGGGGAAAGGAGCTCATTTGTAGCCAGTGAACAGTCAAAGACAAACATCTGCTCAAGATCTGCTACAACTATCTGCATATAAAAAAATAATTATATATTAATTATAGCAGCCGATGAGTGACTTTACCTTGCTCTTCAGTTTGATGAGGAAGGCAATACAAGAGAGTGCTTTCACCCGCAGAGAGTCACTCAGTGCGGTGTCACTGCCCACCTGACACAAACATTGATATTGAAGGTTGTTAGAAATGTGAAATTCAGAACACAAAACTGGACAGTAAAGACAGTTCAGACGTTCAGCTCCCACCTCCAAGCAGAAGCGGACAATGTCAGCAATATGAGGGACGACGATGGACACCTCACTCTCCATGAGCTCATTAAACACCTCCATGGCCTCGCTGGCTTGGGTCTGTGCAGACAGACAAACCACATCACTTAACAGGTCTGATTTATTCAAACCCTTTCATATAAGTAACTGGCAACAGAAACAACAATATGAGTAAAAAATATCTTTAACCCATCACCTGATCTGCCTTGATGAGGTGTTTCAGCGCCACAATCAGACTTGGGATGATAGAACGCATCTGGTTCTGTAGGGAGGCAAAACGTCATCACGTGTTCAAAAGGACCGTGTTTAGATACAAGTTACACCGTAATGCTTCAACTTAGTCTGCGATGTATCAAAAGGCATCTGTGATAGTTTGAATGTCTATACACGACAAAGTTAAACCAGTAACAGTGCCTCACCATCTCTTCTGTGCCGGTGTACGCAGTAATGGCTGTGAGGGTGAGGATGCAGTAGTACAAGGCTGTTGGGTTGTTGTGGTCCTGCAGTACAGTACTAAACAGCTGTAGCAGCTGGCAGTAGTGAGGCTTGAAGGGCTCCGGGTTTGACTCCATCACCTTATTCAGCAGCATGAGGCCAATCTGTGAGGACAAAACAGTGCAGATATTCAAAGGCTGTTATTGAGCGTGTAACACAACATGATTTAAAGACTGCATTGTTTAAGTAATTCTGAACAAACAAACTCTTAAGTTGATCATTCACTTATGAATTGTGGCCCATATTTAGAGAAGTTAATTGTGGGTCATGCGGGCTGGAAAATAAACACTAATCCGTATCCATAGCTTATTAATCAGTCCAGAGAGCCATCATTTGTTCACTGTTAAATTAGTAGATGTATTAACCGTATATCTCCATTTGTAGGTGATCCTGTACCTGTCTATCATGAGGGTTGCTGCTCTTTGTGGACTGATTGAGGAGCTGCAGCAGAGCAGGCCAGCGGTCTGGTGTCTCATGTTTAACCATCACAGCGCACAGCTGGGAGAGCGAGTGCTGCACAGTGTGCCTGCAAAACACACATACGTGGATATATATATAGAGATATATGCACAGAAATCAGGCTCATTCACACTTGACATTTCAGAAGTGTGTACAGCTTTATATGGCCACACGAACTCAAGTAACATTTCATCTGTGTCAACGGCATTTACAACAAATAAAATCTGGGTCACCTAAGACACAGGAAGTTATTAGTGTATATATTTATATATATATATATTCGTACTATAAATATTATATAATACTATATATACGTTACTATACATAATACGTACTATATATATATATATATATATGGAATAACTTACTCTGCTTCCTGCATGAAGGTCTGCAGCACCACTGCCTTAAGGCTGTATGAATAAAGACAAACATGATTACAACTTACTCAAATTCACTTGGGCTATAACCACTACAACACACTTAACTTAATAATACTTCAATGAAAAAAAGTAGTGCACAAACCTCTCTCTGTCGTTGGGGCTAATTTTCTTCCAGTGTTTCTTCACTCTCAACCGCAGCATCACTGCAGCTGACTGACGAATCTAAGAGTTTAGACGAACGCACACAACAAGAATCACTCTAGTTCACATACACAAACTTTACATTAACGCCACAGTAAGTTATAAAACAATCACACACACAGACACAATACCTGTGGATTCTGGGAGCCGCTCATCACAGCACACAGGGCTGGTATAATGGCTGGGTCTTTGAACGCCTGTTTCAGCTGGGCTGTGGCCTAAAGGGGACAAAAGAGATGCCACTAAGTTGGCCGGCTGCCACACATAACTAGACATCATTGTAAGAAGTCACATGGCACCAGTGCACATTACAACGTGCAGCCAAATGCCTCAAGGCTGGATTTCTGCTTTTAGAAATAAAGGTGATCGTTAAATTAGCTAGTTACTATAGTTACTTGGCGTTAACTGACCGTTGGCAGCTAATAACGGCTAAAAACCATGACCGATCTTTTTACAGTTAGCTAACGGTAGCCGTACGTTACCAGACGTTACCAGACGTTGGCTTTCTTATTTGGATAACCGTTAACCGTTAGTTTTCCAACTTGTCGTGTGTGTCTAAATGAATGATAAGTTAACTTAAACAAAGTCATTTGTGGCGTTACCTGCTGGATAACTGCATTGTCAGGCTGTGTCAGCTGTGAAAGAATCTGCTCAAGTTCCTCTGTCATCTCGAAAGCTCAGACCTGACACACCTCCTGTCAATCTGCTGTAACCGTTGACGTTAATATTTCGAGTCGAGTGAACGAGTTGCCGGTTTAGCGGTGTGGTTACCGGCGGTGTCCCACGTATGCTACACCTGTCAAGTATGTCAACAACGCCTCTGTGGCAGAGTTAATCGCTAGTTGCGTGAGTTTTGTCGTGAAAACCCACTTTGAAAGACGTCGGTTAGTTATACGTTATACGTTATACGTTATCGAGCCGAACGGCAGTCTGACAGAATCGAACCTCCAGCTCGGTCTGGTCCGTTAATGCTTCAACTGCCAGCACGCGGGGCAGAACCGGCCAGGAGTTCCATGTGAGTTGAGTTAAAGGGACCTGCGGCTCTCAGTGTTCTCTGGTGGAAACAAACAGCGCCCCCACCGGAGAGGAGGGCACGGTGCGACAATTATAAATCAGTGGAAAGTTAGGATATTAGGTGGAGAGTTTGAATTGTACGCTTCCTTATACTACTCCTCCACTACAGGGAAATATTGTACATCTTATTCCACATTTATCTAACAGCTATATTGTATTATTCATACAAAACATACACGCATTTTGGAAGAGTAGTTTGTGGTGCTGTGGATCCGTTGTGTTACACAGAGAGGTGTTTGTTATTTAGCCTACTCTCAGAGATATGAATGGGGTGGACAAAATATTAGAAACACCTATCAGCTAGACCAATAAATTGGCCAGGCTGACATTTCTGCCAGTATTAGCTGTATTATGAGAAAGAAATTGCAGTAGAGAGGAGGGCTGCAATTATTAGTTATTTTTTTCACTATTGATTCATCTGCTGATATTTTTTTGCATCGATTATCAAAATTGTTATAGAAGTACCAAATGTATTTTTGAGGTAGTTTAGATACAGAGCCTCTATGAGTCTCTAGTTTGTTCACCAGAGCATGTAATTGTTTATTCAGCTGTAAAATCTCAAGAAATTGTTCTCTTGAGCTCTCAGCATTCAATATTGGTCTCTATATACTCTGAATTCAGTATTGGTCCTACTCTTATGATTATCTTAACAATATGATGCAACTTCAACATTTTCCTACACTAGAAATAAGTTAAAATGCGTCTTAAATTGACCAGCTACCACATTTGAGGTGATGCTTACACCAATCAGTAATAATACAAAACTGAAAGTAAGTAAAGTTACTTAACTAAAGGAATTGATTAGTACTTCTTCCACCACAGAAAAGGATTACATCAACAGTGCCTTGTTGTTGCAGGCCAAGGTCACTTGGGAAAAGGGACTCCATACTGGAATAGGTAGCCACATGAGAGGTTATTTGCACACATTTCAGACAACAAAAGAGAGTCTGATGGCCTCGCTCTTCACACTCAAAACACCCATTAGAGGGCCAGCGTGGAATGTGTCATCTGAGGAGAGCAAGAGGTCAAATTCAGCATACTTGGGAAAATGACCCAAGGTTTATCTAGGAGCAAAACATATGCCAACAAACCATAAGTGATTACAATGATGTTGATGTTCAAATGTATCAACCTTTTTCCCAGTAGCAGTGCCTTACAAACACACTAGAGTACAGTGTGCCTGGTCATCAAAGGCCAATCTGTAGCCCGCTCAGCACATACCAATGCTAATGCAATGCACACCTGTTCACCCACGCCCTACACACACCTAAACCAGCGATCCCTTCATGTATGTCTTGGCTTGTACACGATCAGACAAACACACTGTGTCCAGGCAGAGATCAGTAGAAATGCTAATGTGCCCATTAGGCTCACTGTTCTCCCATCGTCTCGTCACTAACTGACTCATTACCACGTCAATACAGCCGAGCAGGGCCAACACAAACAACCTCGATGGTAACGTGCAAGCTAATCTAATTCATCTTTGTGAAAAGGATTGCAAATAGGGCTATGGAGGTTGCGTCAACATGTCCTAACCCACTGTACAGGATTGGGGGATGGGCTCTGAAGCTATAGTCTCTGTCAGCTAATTATACACATTTTTAATCACGTTTGAGGCATAGTCCTTACATAGAACAACATTCAGTCGAATGCCTCTTAGTAAGTGGGTCCACTGCATTAGATTTAAATTTGCAGTTTTCAATCATTAACAATAACGCTGACGAAGAAGTATTAGTGGTTAAAGAAATATTCAGTACCAGATACTAGATTTAGTCTACTGATCTGGAACTAAAGCTCAAACTCTACATGTGTGCAAGATTAAAAAATGACTGAAGCTAATGTGCTGACAAGGCAGCATGTTAAGGTTAAAATATAACTTTATTTATTACCTGTCTGAATTGTTTGGTATATAAAAACCCTTCCCATAAAAATATGCTGTTTGCCTGAGCTTCATTGTCACTGAGTTCCAATACAACCATTTCCTTATTGGGGATATAAACGATGCTGAAGGTGTGCTCCTTAAACAAACACTACCGATGGTAACCATCTGAGCCTCAAAAGCCTCACATTCGATAGGACAAAGGAATGAAACACTGAGCAAACACTCAGTTTTGTTTTTTTACTACATAACTAGAATGTTTAGAATGGTCTATGTGTTTTGTATACGTGTAATTTCTCCGTATAGCTCAGTAATTTCTCTAATGAGGATGTCTACTTGGTGTTTTACTACTTATTTCTTTCACCAAAACCCACAGAGATTTCTGACCTCCTAAGAACAGGATATCAACAGATCTAAAATACCAAACAAACTTGAGAAAAACTAGGAAAAGCCCATGTTGGATTAACTTTATGTGGGGTGGGGGAAATGAACAAACTTTGGATTACATACCATATTACTATGCTGGAATACTGTGATCATTTGATTAAACACAAGTTCATATGAAATATGCAACAAACTTTCATTTCATTATACAACCTTGTGTTGTATAACCATGAATACATTTCCTTGCCTTGAGAACAATATCAGCTAAATTAATGAAGGTCTTAAAACTGGATTTTGACACCCAAATGCTTTTTTAACACAAGATTAGGTCATTAGGATCCACATTAAGGGATTTATCATTCACACTGATATGTTTGAGTGTATGTCCATGTTCAGGGTTTGCATTATACTATCACCACCTAAAAGAAATTCAGTGTATGTACATACATGTTTAAGAGCTTGGTGATAGCGTTAAAGAAGTGAACTAATTAAAAATGGTTGGTACTTAGTAACTCTCCAAACTTTACATAGTTTTTGTCTCCAAACCGGTCAAATACAATTTAAAAGCAAAGACTGAACCTGGGTAGCCAATGAAAGGGCATCACTGTCTCCCGTGAAAGGTGAATCAATTGGTCCAAATCAAAACACCCACTTAATCTACATCCCTGCCCACACCCACACACGACTTTATAAACAGCCTGTAGGAAGCTGCGCGCAATGTTTGGACGTTAATTGGCCCCCGCTTGTTTTAACTGGACAGGTCCTGCTTTTAGTCGCCTCTTCTGATATAGTGCTTGCTGGATTCAAAGCTATTTTCCACCACTACTTGAGCTTTTCTTGTGCTGCGTTTGTTTGTTTTGTTTTTTTACACTTTTTAATCAAACCTGCTGCAGAAATGGCAGACTGGAAGTCGCAGATAAGTTACAACTACAACCCCTCTTATCACGCCTACGCCTACGGCCTCGTGTACCAACCCGGGCCCGAGCAAAACCACGGGAACCTGAGCAGCTGGGGCGAAACCGGAGTCACGGATTTGAGCAACTACAACGCCGGGGTGACACAGGCCTACTACGCCACCACCGCCAGGGCCCGAGAGGAGTCCCCGCCGGGCAGCCCGGAGCAGCATGCCGCTCCCGGTCACTGTCACTACCAGGGCTCCGGGGTGGTCTACCTCGGTGACACCCAGGCCGGCCGTCTGCTGCTGTCCGGACAACACCGGGCTGCCTACGACGCACGGACACACGAGGCGAGGCGGGCCGGGAGCGACTCAACCAGCGACTCCGAGGCGCACACCTCCCCCGGTACGTCCGTGTGACCCCCAGTTAGCGTTTTCTACAAGAGTTGACCTGGCGCAGTTAAAGCTTAACATACAATGTGTGTCAGTGCTTACATCTCCCCGTTGGCTGTGAAAAGCTGTGATTTCATTCTCCAGAACTGACCATGAAGTCCAATTGAGATCCATCTTGGTTTAAAAAGGGCCTCCAAAAATTCCCGCCACTGATTTTTACTGAGTGTTTCTGGAAAAGGGCAAACTAGCGACATCTGGCGACAGAAGTCGAGAATATCGGAAAAATCGCTACATAATATTTACATTAATGTAAAAGACTCGTGTTCTTTGAGGTAACATGAAATAAAATGCATTGTAGTGTTGACTCTATTCTACTAGGGGCAGACCCCCATTATATCCATACTGGAATATACTAGCCCTATATAAAGGCCCCACTCACTATACTAGTGCTCACTCTGCTCACTGTTTGTGTCCCCCCTCACTTAGATTCATGGAGCTCTGGCAGCAGCAGAGAAGGTAATCTCCCCCAGGCCGACCCGGCTACTTGGGCGAAGCAAGATCTCGACGATGAGGCAACCAGCAGAAGCCCTGACGCAGGCGAGGACGTTCCCAGCTCTCTCAAGGAAGAGCCAATGCCCTTTATGGTCACAGGGAACGAGGGAACCGACAGCACCGCCACCTCTGTACATGTGCCCTTAACTGCCCCAAAGAAACCAAGCACTACTTCCGGAAATAACCCCAAAGCAAAGGCCCGGGCAGCCTTCTCGGAGAGTCAGATGAATGCTCTTGTCCAGCGCTTTAGTGTGCAGAGGTATCTCACCCCAGCTGAAATGAAGAACCTGGCGGAAATGACGGGGCTGACTTACAAACAGGTGAGGGATTTAAGAGGGTTGTTGGACATGTGCGCTGCAAAATTGAATTTCCTGTACACGTTCTTATCAATTGGAATTTCTTAATCTTGTTTTAAGATCAAGACCTGGTTCCAGAACCGAAGGATGAAGCTAAGGAGGCACCAGAAAGACACGAGCTGGGTGTCTGAGCGCTACACCACCAACAAAGACAGCCCAGTTCGTGGAACAGTCTTCACAAATATTCCCTCGCATATCCCACCTGTAAGTGGCCTCTATCATTTACAGTATATAAGTTCAGTGTCAGGGGGTTCTGTGATACCAAGAACTCAACATGGTAATGGCGTAAAAGTGGGATCAGACTAATTGTCCTGCTCAGTTTTCCTGTTAACTGATAACAGAGAAACAGCAGCCTGGACATAGAATAAGACGTCCATAATGGAGGTCTAACCACAGTCCGGTTATGACCTTAAAGGCGAGACGAAACAGTCAAAGCAATGTGCTGGGATATAGACAGTTAGGATTTAATTTTTTTTTTAATATATAAATTTGATTCTAACTTGAACTACCACTTGTTTCTTTCAGTATCAGGGAGAAGCCCGGCCCCAGCTCAAGGAGCATTACAACCAGCACATGATGGAGTCAGCCTTCAAGAAGACCGCTCCACAGAACCTGGCCTTCTACCTGGCTGCTATGGGCTCTGCTGCTGGATCTGCTGGATATCCCTCCTGGTCCTCTGGTCCGCCCCAGACCGCAGTCCCCACGAGGCCCCAGGCGGCTGGCTGGTCCATGCCCCCAGGCATCGGCCATTATGAATACAACCCCGGTGCATTCAACTCGGCCAACGTTGCCTCTGCAAATAACACCGGGCACGACACGAGCTTTGAAAGCAAAGATGTGGAGTCTGTGAACAGCCGCGGCTCCTTAAACACAGCCATAGTGCATAACGCCAGCCAGTAGTCTATGTTGGAGCTGACAAGCGTTTCTGTAAATGTGACCCATAAGCCATGTTAATATTCTTCTATTCAAGTTTCCTGACTGTAGTTTGTAATTAACTTGGGGTGCTTTTTGTCAGGCTGGGTGTACATATGCTTTGTTCATTTCTTCTGTTCAAAAGTATTTTACCTTTTTATCTCAGTTTTATTTTTATATGCAACTATTTAATGTATGTTGGTGTGTTCTTTGCGCTTGGTGATACTAGATGTGTCCAAGTTGGATTCATTCTTGGGATTACATTGTTTTTTGGAACTGTTTTAAGGCAAAGTGCTGATACAGATCTAATGTGCACACATTTCAATGAGTTTTTTTTTTTTTCTATAAATACAGGTTCACTTTGGCAACTTGAAATAATGTCTTGGTTTCAGTTTTTTTTTACTGAGCGTGCGATAATACATACACTTGCATGTGATGTGACTACTTGCAGGTAATTGGAAACATCTGTGGTGGCCTTACTGATATAGCTGTAGACAAAAGTGAAAATAATTCTGTGTAGTACAAACTTTTTTTTATAAAGTAAGCAAAGGGAAAAAAATACAGATTATATATTTAATATAAAAATTAGCCCAGAGTTGTTTAATGGCAATATTGTATTAAAAAGCATTTTATTGAAAAGACTATATTTACATCAGAACCAAGATCAGTCAATGATGACCATAGAATACAATGACAATATTGCTCCCATAACCAACATTTTGCAACAGCTCTTCAATCGTTCCTCTTATCCACTGCAGGGCCATGTGGAGCTCAACAGGGCCAGTGCAAAACAATGTTTCTATTATATTTTGAATAGGCTGCCACAACTGTACGTGTGGGGGAAGAGTATAATTGCAATTAACTAAAACTATCAGCTGTCTCACTGCGTAACCAATGTAATGCAGGGAAAACTATGTGTAGATCCTACCCTGCCATGACGGACCATGAAGTAGGAACCAGAGCAGATGATGCCATACATACAATGATTAAATCATTCACACACGTATCATACATTTTACCCATTTACTCTTGATGGTACACACTCATCCCTTTGTACCGAAATATTCCATTTTATCCTTAAATACATGACCCACCCCCCCAGCTCTACCTTCAACTGTCCATTTATCCAGCCTACTATCCCTTATTCCAACAATGACAGCTCTAGTTCATTCTCTAGCTCCTGTCATATCAAGGCCCCTGTTTCTCCTCCCATTGACCCCATAGGAGGTGTGTGTTTGTGTGTGTTGTGTAAGACTGAAAGCAAGAAAGGAGGATGAGGGTTGTCCATGTGTGCTATGTGGTAATGTGTGTTTATAGCTGTGTGTCTGCATATACACATTTCAATGTCTAGTCCATCTTAAGGCTACGGTAGATGTAGCGAATAAATGCCAGTGACGCCCAGAACGACACGCTGCCCAGCATCAGTGAGAAGACCATCGCTGTGAGCAGAGAGTAGCCAAAGAACTCTGTGCTCTGCACCAGGCCGCTCATAGAGGACCGGTTCCGGTAGTAGAAAACAGAGTAGACGAAGATAAAGAGGCCGGTGGAGCCGGTGCTGAGCACGCTCCGCCACCACCATCGGTAGTCCTCGCCAGATAGCAGGAAGTAGGTGAGTGCCACAGAGATGCAGGCGCCCACTGAGAGGAGGATGGCGAAGACGCACAGCAGGATGCCATACAGGGTGTAGTGCTCTCGGCCCCAAACGGTGGCAAAGATGTAATACAGCTCCACTGAGATGGCACTGAGGGAGACAATTTATAGAACAGAGGAATGAGAAATGAAAGTCAAAAGGGTGTTTCAGTACTTTTTCCATAAATCTTTAGAATAGTACTAATGACTACTGACTTATCAGTCAAGATGATGCAAAAGTATCTATCTTTTTTTCAAACCATCCTGGGCTTAAATAATAAACAGAAATGCAAAGTCTAAATAACAGACCACCGAAAACGTGTAGAAATACATTCTTGACATAAAAATAAAATCTCATCTCTTAACTGCTACCAAAAATTCTCATTTTGCAGTGAAATCCTCAGCATGTTGCTCTTCAACCTCCCGCGTTAAAGCTAAAGAAATCTCACCTGAACGGCAGGAAGCCGCCGATGGCCATGTGTACAGCTGTGTGTTTGTACCAGGGCTGTGTAGGGATCTGCCTGGCGATGTTGCGAGTGCGGCAGGGTGCCTGGAAGCTGCCGGCTCGGTTCTTTCCCACAATGCCGCCGATGACGGTGAGCGGGAAGCCCACCAGCACCCAGGCACCCAGCAGGAGGAGCACAGTGGTGGCCGGCAGAGCCTGAGTGGAGCCGCTCCACCAGTGGATCGAGTTCACTACGCTCCACGTCAGGAACAGAGGGGCTGTAGGAACGAAGGACCAAGTGTAAAAATTGAGCTATTATATCAGTGTTTTAATGATGAAAATATGGTGAGGAGGCTGCTTAATAATAACACCAGTAAGTTTTATGTGCCAGAAGGCTTTTTTTCCCCCAAAAACAACTTCCTGAACCGGAATAAAGAATGAAACGCTGTGAATACATTAAGGATAGATGAGTAATTCATTAACCGAGTAGAGTAGCATTGCCACATTGTACACAACACTAATTACATAATACACTACAGGTGCCCCAGACCTGCTCAGCTTTATTCTTTAGAAATGGCACTATGAAAATCAGTCGTCCACTAGGTGAAATCATTCCACTTTCTCTACTAAATGTTAAAAGAAAGTGTGAACAACAATAGGCTCATTAATTTTTATATTGACAAATGACAAAATCATTGTAACTACAGTTTTAAAATGTGAAAGTTAAACCTCATATTTCTGTACTTTACAGGTTCCACCTTGCTTAAAGACACGAGGATCTGGACATCTTTGAACTGCACTCTGTTCTTACGGCCAAAGCGTGACGTGATCTCAGACCCTCCTTATGGGACTCACCGGAGAAAAGTGACGAGGTGAGGATGATGTTCCACACCCAGCGCTGGCCGTTGATCTGTGTGTAGAAGCTGCACGACATGTAGCCCGACACGCAGCTGGTCAGAGCGTACAGGACAATGGCTGCAGAGTTGATGGCACCATGGCGGTGCACGTTGAACATTCCCAGCAATGCCATGAAAATGATTCCTATCGCAATGAGGAGACGTTAGAGTGATTAGACTACTGCAGGTCTGAACTACCATTGTCAGGTTTTCTAGTTGTTATGTTACTCTGCTTTTCAGTACAAAGACTGTTGGTCAGTGCTGAACAAAGATTATTTAACGGACCATGTTCTGCCATGTGTCGCTGTGTTTGGGTATATGTGAGAATGAACACTCGCCTGTGGCAAGGGTAAGGAACTGAGCCCCCACTCCCAGCACGGCGCACAGCAGGCTTTTGTAAGGGGGAAACCTGAAGACGTCAGTGTGTATGATCTTCCAGCCGTTGTCTCCCTGGTCCAGATCATCACAGCCGCCTTCCTCCTCCACATTGTACCTGCAGGGGAGGGAAAAATGCTTTCACCTGGGATCTTATCATGAACCTGACCAGCAGGAGTGGTTCACAAGTTTCACCTTAATCGGAGACAAAAGATGGTCTATTAGAATTAAGGCTCGTTTGGGCCACAGTGATTTGTCGCAAGGAAAATAGTGCACCCCTCTTTCCAAATGCTAGCGAGAAACTACGGTGGCTGTGAATGGTTTGTCCATTCTGGGCTACTGTAGAAACATGCCAGTTCAACACAGCACATTCTAAGGTAACAACAACATAATGCATATTTTCAGGTGATAATACACTAATGAAACATAGTTATGAATATCATTGAATATCAATTCAATCTATATAAAACGGAGAAAATCTGCAAATCCTTACATTTCAGAAGCTGGAAATATATTTGCTTAAGTGACATTTGTCAAAATTGCTATAGATGTACTTTCTGTTGGTTGATGATTTCATAATTTCATATTAAAGACATTAAAACTTTCATATTCTCTGGCCCATAAACACTTGAGCTCCTTCACTGACTAACCTGGCAAAATCATTCTTAAGAACCCGCATGAGAATGATGATGACGAAGCCCAGCAGCAGCACCACCAGCACCAGTGAGTTGATGATCGACAGCCAGTGGATCTCAAGTGTTTTGGGGAAGAAGGAGTAGTCTCGGAGGCGCTCGGCTCTCCGGGCGTGAGGAAGAGGTGACTCAAACCAGCGCACGCTGTAGGTATGGGTGACCGTCAGGCTGCCTCCACCCACCCCGACTCCGCCCACCGCTGCACCCGCCCCCTCCTCCAGGGGAACAGGTTTGACGTCTTTTACTGAGACGTTGGCGAAGATCACTGAGGCGCCGTTGTACTCGATGTTGAAGTCTAGGTGAGTCCACAAACCCACCTGTTGAAGGTGAGGGAGGAGGGCAGGAAGAGAGACAAAGACAAAAAAGAAAGAGAGGAGGAGGAAGTGAGAGATAAGAATAATGAGTGTGGTGGAGCTAAAACAGGAACTTTGATAACACTTTTAATAAACTCAGTCTTTCTCCCTCATACAATCCAAACTATAGTTTTACCTTGTGGCTGTGAGGCAGGAAGCCGCTCTCCTCTATGTACCCCACAAACCCCCAGATTGGAATATCATCCAGGACAAATTCAAAGTAGAACAGCTCCTCGATGGCTTCACGAAGCTCGTCCACCTGACACACACAAAACATATGCATGATCACATCCTATGTCTCAACAGCTTAGTTCAGCCTCTATTTGAGGTGTTTATCTAATCAACTTTGTTAGTGACAACACATAAAAAAAGGTTGTATTTATCACTCAGCCTGGTGTTGTATTCTGGCCCTAATTCAATGGAACGTCTGTGAGGAGCTTGCTCTGCTATATCACCCTTTTCTCTAGAATCCATATTGACATAGCAGGGCGCATCCATTCGATGGCATCAGATCCTGATACTGATACATATCATGTTAAGAAGTGGTGTTAGCACACCTTAAGAACATAAGACATAACATAAGTTTTATTATCATATTATTTGTATTATTATTGAGCAAGAGGGAAATTTCACTTTTGAATTATATCATAAAAAGGTTTTTTAACAACATTACAATAGACTGGCATATAAAAGAGAACCATTTACTAGGAAACAGTAGGAAATGTTCATACTTCATCATTTTCAAGATTAAATTCAAAATCAAGTTAATAAATTATTAGACTATTATTTAATAACATATTTTAAATCACCTTTAAGTCCAGAGTATTAAAACTTAACCCAAGATGGGTAGTAGTATACAAAATATTAAGTTCATCCTATCCTGTTCTTGTGTAGATAAATACCTGTTTCTCCGAAAGAGTCAGCTGGCAAAGAGTTTTTTTCTCCACGTTCTCTCTGAAACGGATGTGATACAACGACTCTGCCA